AAGAGATTTTTAAAAATTAAAAGGGGAGGAATAATTTACTGAGTATCCCAGGAAAGTGTACGTAGGGTTAAAATTTGAAAGAATTAGAGGTAAGACAGAATGTAGGATTGCGGATGAGAAAGGAGGTTTCAGATTGGGTAGGGGATGTGTAGATCAAGTGTTTACTTTAAAAGCATTATGTGAACAGTATTTAGAAAAAGGGTTTTTGGGAAGTTTTTTTTGCATTTATGGATTTAAAAAAGGAAAAATGATAGAGTGGAAAGGGAGCAATGTGGCAGATGTTGAAAGTATATGGAATGGGAGAAGTTATAAATGCTGTAAAGAGTTTTTTTTGAGGATTTGTGAGGCTCGGTGAGGGGGGTGAGAAGAGGGGGAGACTACCTCCCAGTAAAAGTAGGTTTAGAATGGATGTGTAAGGCACCCCGGTTTTTTAATTATTTTTAGATGGGGTTGTAAAAGAAGTAAAAAGCTTTGGGTGTTCGGGAGGGGGTGGGATTAAAAATTTGGGGAATTAAAAACAAAAAGGGAACTGACCAGTTGCTTTTTGCTGATGATACTGTGCTTTTGGGAGATTCTAAAGAAAAAATTTCAAAGGTTAGTGGGAGTTTGGGGAGTGTGTGTAAGGGTGAAAGTTGAAAGTGAAATAGAAAAAAAGGGAAAATGATGAGGGTTTCAAATGATTTAGATAAAGAAAAAATTGGGGTATCATATTGGGGAGGAGGAAGTATGGAAAAAGGAAGTTTTAGATACTTGGGAGTTGACGTGTGGCGGATGGATTTATGAAGGATGAGGTTAATCATAGAATGAGAGGGAAAAAAAAAGGGGAGTGGTTTCATTGAGGTATATTTGGAGACAAAAAAAGTTATTATGGATGCAAGAAGGGGGAAAGTATGAAAATTAATAGTACCAAACTCTTTTATGGGTGTGAAGTTGGGGTTTTGAATGAGCAGCAAGGAGGGGGTTGGAGGACAGTGGAGTGTCCCGTCTAAGGGGAATTTGTTGTGTAAAATTATGAGAAAAATTTTGGAGTGTGGGGAAATTTGGGAAGTTGGGTTAATAAAAGTTTAGTCGGGGCAGAAAAGGGGGGGTTGAGGTGGTTTGGTCATTTAGAGAGAATGGATCAAAGTAGAATGAATGGAGAGCGTTAAAATTGTGGGAAAGGAAGGGGGGGGTAGGGGTCTTCCTTGAAAAAATTTGGGGGGAGGGGGGTTTTAAGGAGGTGTTCTGGGCGAGGGGCTTGGACTTCAGCAAGAGTGCGTGACGTGTTAGATAGGGGGAATGGAGACAAATGGTATAGGGACCGACGATCTGTTGGAGTGTGAGCAGGGGGAATATTTGTAAAAAGTTCAGGGGGAAACCGGTTTTTTTTATATGTCGGACTTGAGTCCTGGAAATGGGAAATACAATGTTGCACTCTAAAGGAGGGGTTTTTGGGGGATTGTAGTTTGGGGGATATATTGTGTATCTCTATGGTATATGCTTTAAAATGTTTGTTTGATCACCTCTGCAAAAAAAAGTGATTATGTGTGAGTGAAGGTGTTAAAGATGATTAAATATTTTCTTTTTGGGGATTTTCTTTTTTTTTTTGGGTCACCCCGCCTCGGGGGGAGACGGGGCCCACTTGTTATATTTTTATATATTATATTTATAATATATATATTATATATATATTTATTTTATATATTTTATATATTATTATATATATTAAATATATTATTATATATATGTTTTGCAATAAGATCACAGTAAACAGGTGATTTTAAATTATGCAAAACAAACCCCTGTGAAAGAGTAGTGAAATTCAAAGCGCTTTTTGTGCTACTCACTTGTCAAGAAACTACTCACATTGTCATAGTTCCTTGAAATGTGAGTAGTCCCAAAGCGTGGAAATTTTCACTACTTTTTTCACAGTGGTTTTTTGCATATTATTTATATAAAATTATATATATATATATATATATATATATATATAAAATATATATATATATATAATTAAAATATATATATATATATAATAATAAAATTTTATATATATAATATATTATATTATTATATATATTTATTTATAATAATATATATATTTATTTATATATATATATGATCCACGAAGGTGGTGATAAACCAAAGTCAGCAATTACAGACCAGTATCTTATCTATCAATAATGTTATCAAAAATTTTTTCAAAGGGGATTTGACTCACGCGCAGTGGACTCCCATTTAAACCCAAAAATAAATGTTCTTAATTTTAGTCACCGCTAAAGGGGAAAGGTTCCTTGATGTTGGGGGGGGGGCCTTGTTTTTAAAAAATTGGCCGTTTTCCCTGTTTTTGGGATCTAATCTGAATGCCTTTTTTATTCCTCCAGGCGCTGTATAAACCCTTAGGGTTTTTGGCGCTCCCCCAAGAACTTAAAAACAGTAAAAATAATAATAATAATAAAAAATAAAATAATAATAATTTTAAATAATAATAATAATAAAAATTTAAAAAAATAATATTTAATAATTAATCCTTGTAAAGTAGGGTTTCTGATTATCTTTGGTTTCTAAAAAATTTTACCGATATTAATTCTTTTAAAAACCCGGCATTTAGGGGAATGCTGTAATTAGGTACCCCCAGACGAATAAATCTGCAAAAAAATAAGGGAAAAAAACCAAAAAATTTCCCTGATTCCCCCAATAAACTAAATAAGGTGATTTGGGGTTTTCCCGGGCCCGGAGTAAAAAAAACACATTTCCATTTCGTTAACACAATTCCATCCCCTTTTTTAAAGACACCCCTAGAAAATTCTTACCTTAAAACTTCCAGTTACCTCCTTAAATCTTCACACCACACACCCCACACCACACACACACACCCACACACACACACACACACAAAACACCACACAACCACACACACACCCCCACCCCACACACAGGGTTCACCAAGGGTTCCCCCAAAGGTGCGGGAGGCAAAAACCAAGTGGGGCTAGGGAATGGAAGAAATAAAAAATAGGGAAAAAGTACCCAGGGGGAATAAGGAAAGCAGTCTTTTAGACCAGAAACAAAAATTTATAACAGATAAGAAGGGAGGCCCAAAGACAATATGAAAACCGGGCATAACAGCGAAAACCAAATTTTGACCCGGGAAATGTTATAAAGCCCCATCAGGAGGAAAACAACGTTTAAGGACCAGGTAATTTAGGGTAAGGAAAGGGAAAGGGGGAGAGACAAGAATGACCGTGAAAATTGTGAAGAAGTCAACAAGAGATTCAAAGAAATGTTCACAGAGGGACACCACCCTGTGCTGGCACAGTGCACACTACCCAGGGAAAAAGTGAAGAGGCTTTGAAAAGAGCTAGATACCTAAAGGCAAAGGGGCCCGATAAATCTCCCCATGGGGGCCTGAGAGAGTTTGCAGAGGCGTATGGTACCCTAACAACAATATTCAATACATCTATCGAAACAGGGAGATTGCCTGAGGCAGGGGGAAAACAGGGAAATGTAGTCCCCAAATTTTTAAAAAAAAGGGGACAACTGAAGCACTTTAAAATACAGACCAGTGTCACTGAATGTATAGTATTTCAAAATCATGGAGAAGATTATCAGAAAAGGGGGGGTGGAAAAAAACCCAGAAAGGAAAAGATCTCATCAACAGCAGCCAGCATGGTTTCAGGGGGCGGGAAAATCCTGTGTCACAAACCTACTGGGAGTTCTATGGGCATGGGGGACAGCAGTAAGACAAGAGAGAGAGAGGGGTGGGTGGATTGCATATTCTTGGACTGCAAGAAGGTGTTTGACACAGTTCCACACAAGAGATTAGTGCAAAAAGTGGAGGACCAAGCAGGGATAACAAGGAAGGCACTACAATGGATCAAGGAATACTTGTCAGGAAGACAGCAGCGAGTAATGATACGTGGCGAGGCGTCAGAGTGGGCACCTGTGACCACCTAGGACCAGTGCTGTTTCTGGTATTTGTGAACGACATGACGGAAAGAATAGACTCTGAGGTGTCCCTTTTTGCAGATAACGTGAAGTTGATGAGAAGAATTCACTCGATCGAAAACCAGGCAGAACTATAAAGGGATCTGGACAGGCTGCAGACCTGGTCCAGCAATTGGCTCCTGGAGTTCAATCCCACCAAGTGCAAAGTCATGAAGATTGGGGAAGGGCAAAGAAGACCGCAGACGGAGTACAGTCTAGGGGGCCAGAGACTACAAACCTCACTCAAGGAAAAGTATCTTGGGGTGAGTATAACACCAGGCACATCTCCTGAAGCGCACATCAACCAAATAACTGCTGCAGCATATGGGCGCCTAGCAAACCTCAGAACAGAATTCCGACATCTTAATAAGGAATCGTTCAGGACCCTGTACACCGTGTACGTTAGGTCCATATTGGAGTATGCGGCACCAGTTTGGAACCCACACCTAGCCAAGCACGTAAAGAAACTAGAGAAAGTGCAAAAGTTTGCAACAATACTAATCACAGAGCTAAGAGGTATGTCCTACGAGGAGAGGTTAAGGGAAATCAACCTGACGACACTGGAGGACAGGAGAGATAGGGGGGACATGATAACGACATACAAAATACTGAGAGGAATTGACAAGGTGGACAAAGACAGGATGTTCCAGAGATGGGACACAGCAAGAAGGGGACACAGTTGGAAGTTGAAGACACAGATGAATCACAGGGATGTTAGGAAGTATTTCTTCAGCCACAGAGTAGTCAGGAAGTGGAATAGTTTGGGAAGCGATGTAGTGGAGGCAGGATCCATACATAGCTTTAAGCAGAGGTATGATAAAGCTCACGGTTCAGGGAGAGTGACCTAGTAGCGATCAGTGAAGAGGCGGGGCCAGGAGCTCGGATTCGACCCCTGCAACCTCAACTAGGTGAGTATAACTAGGTGAGTACACACACACACCCTAGCGCATTTCCTCACATTCACCCACACCCTCGCGTTATCCCACACTCGTCTACACCCCAGCAACCCCCCCCCCCCCCCACTTGTCAACACTCACCCTGGTGAAGGTGGTTGCACGAGGAATGAAGGGGAAGGCGTCGCTGGTGAGAGCCAGGTTGTCGTACTGGCTCCTTCGTACTCTGAATCGGACTCGGACTCGGACTCGGAATCCTCCCCAACATTCACTCTGTCATTCACCTGTTGGTCGCCATCACAGACTAGCTCAGTGACTGTGCAGCTTGATACATATATATGATATAATGAATGTTCTTATTTTGTAATGAATGCTTTTGCAAGAGAAAAACTGGATTTAGCTCTAATATGTTATGTATAAATTGTTTAATCATATTATTTGCTCGTTTTATTATGTATTGTATCTGTAAGGTTAGTTTGTTATATAATATAGTATATTTTGTTATATAATATAGTATATTTTTAAAGTACTGCTCAATGCAAATATGTTTGCTAATTGTGAAGACGATGAGGGCAGCTGGTCGACACCTGCTGGTCGACACCTGCTGGTCGACACCTGTCAGTATGGGAGGGCACCTTGGTAAAGACAGGTGGGAAGAACCTTAGTACAGACAGGTGGGGGAACCTTAGTTAAGGCAGGTGGAGGAATCTTAGTTAAGGCAGGTGGAGGAATCTTAGTTAAGGCAGGTGTGGGAATCTTAGTTAAGGCAGGTGGGGGAATCTTAGTTAAGGCGGGTGGGGGAATCTTAGTTAAGGCGGGTGGATCAAGACGAATGAGTGGAGTGGATGACTCACCGTAGTCAAGAAGAATGAGTGGGATGGGGGACTCACCGTAGTCAAGAAGGAGTGGGATGGAGGACTCACCGTAGTCAAGAAGAATGAGTGGGATGAGGGACTCACCGTAGTCAAGAAGAAGGAGTGGGATGGAGGACTCACCGTAGTCAAGAAGAATGAGTGGGATGGAGGACTCACCGTAGTCAAGAAGAATGAGTGGGATGGAGGACTCACCGTAGTCAAGAAGAATGAATGGGGTGGAGGACTCACCGTAGTCAAGAAGAATGAGTGGGATGAGGGACTCACCGTAGTCAAGAAGAATGAGTGGGATGGAGGACTCACCGTAGTCAAGAAGAATGAGTGGGATGGAGGACTCACCGTAGTCAAGAAGAATGAGTGGGATGGAGGACTCACCGTAGTCAAGAAGAATGAATGGGGTGGAGGACTCACCGTAGTCAAGAAGAATGAGTGGGATGGAGGACTCACCGTAGTCAAGAAGAATGAATGGGGTGGAGGACTCACCGTAGTCAAGATAAATGGGTACATTGAGGGCACTCACCTGTTGGAGTGGCGGTGGAGTACCTTTGAGAGGAGCCAGCGGCAGAAGGTTGCAGTGGTCAGGAACACCTTTCTGAGTCCCCATCCTGACGCGCCACCTTCGCTCCTTGAACCGGTTGAGTATGCTGTACACCTGTGAGGAAATCCGGTTTGACTGAAGGGTTGGTAGTAACCACTCAATTCAAGACTTTGGCGGTCAACTAAACTAAACTAAAAAGGGAATATAAGTAAGTTTAACAACGCTGAGAGTGAAAATATCAAAATAAATTTCCCCATCACAGGAAGATCATCTTGTATATCTTAAGAAGCACGTAAGTTCCCCTGTCTTCTAATAATAATTTTTCTACTATAAATCTACCTTGTTTATAATTAGTATCGCATTTGCTTTGTTTGTTTCGTAAGATGAAGTCTAGGGTCTTGGCTTAATTCATGGTATAACTTAACAAATCTGAGCTTTGCTCAGACCTCTACAACACAATTGTCCTCAAAGATTTGTTAAGCTATACCATGAATTAAGGAAACATCCTAGACTTCACCTTACGAAACAGACAAAGCAAATGCGATAGTATAAGGCTCGCTCATGATGGTACGTGATTTATGGTGCATGATGACAGTGTAAATTACTAACAACTTACTGTTCTATTCCGCGTTGTTATTTCCTCAGGAATTGTTGTTATTATCACATTTGAATCTTCGATATCTATTTGTCACGAACTGTTAAATGAATGTCTTTATATTCATGAAAATACTCAACCTCTCATGGTGAGCATAAAGTTGCAAGATCACTGACCACATAAAGTGCAGCAACAGCACCAATGAGGCCGCCAGCGATGATGTCAGTAGAGGATGACTGGTAAGTGAGGTAGCCGTGGGTGGCTCCTATTGATGTCATGACCAACACACCACCCACAGTAAGGAAGGAGCTGCCATACATGCCTGATACTCTCGCCATCCTAGCAAAGTACACCCACGTCCACACTCCGCTGGAAATAAAGTTCCTTTAAAGCTAATACACTTCGTATTTCGTTAGTGTGTGTGTGTGTTTTTTTCCCTTAGTTTTCTACATGTAGAAATACTACACACATGAAGTACTGTATGTACAGAATGTTACAGAATGTATTCCTGGAAGCATCATGAAATACAGAATACGGAACATAACTGTTATTTATGTAAATAGAGAAGGAAGGGCTGTTACTAGGATTACAGTTTAGGGATGGAAGATCGTAACGTGGACAGAGACCAGCATTAGTACGTCTTGTGTCGATATTCTATATCAGCACTAGCAAGTCTTGTGTCAATATTTATATAGCAGCACTAGCAGGTCTTGTGTCAATATTGCTATAGCAGCACTAGCAGTATTGTGCCAACGCAGCCACAGAAACTATCAGGCCTTCAGTCAGTGTTTGCAGTAGACAGCGATCATGGGATGAGGAAAAGAGACGTGGATGAGGGAGACAACGGACTTGGATACAAATGTATATGATACAAATAACTAGTGAAAAAAATATAATAACTTAGGACATCATGTTTATTGGGTCATGAGCATTTTCTAAGTGACTGCATTTTGCGTCCTTTTTTCCAGTGTGAAAGACTAACCAATAGACAGCGAGGGCTGCGTGATAGGAGGGAAAGGACCTGAGAGCCTCGTGCATTTCCCTTTGGTCTCCTTGGCACACATCGTTGGGGGACCAGACGAGGTCTTCAGAACATTTGCTGCTGAGGTCGACGCCACTGTAGTTACATATTGCTAGCAGGTGAGGCCTGGGAGACGCCATCCCCAGCTTCATCACCGACACCAGCACCCCGGTGGCTGAGCCCCCCAGAAGAAAGGCACCTGGGGGAAGGCACAATGAAAGAGGAGTTAGCTATGTACTCCATAGCTAAGGTTACCGTTTATAGCAGGTGTAGTTCACTTTCTCCAGCTGTCCCGCACACAGCGCTGAGGACCAAGTGCTGTATTGCTCCCATTGGACATAAAGCTAATAAAAATAATAATAATAATAATAATAATATAATAATAATAATAATAATAAATAATAATAATAATAATAATAATAATAATAATACTCACAGAGGAAGCGAGGAATTCTTCTGACGTAGAGAGGAAAAACGAAACCATAGCTTTCTACAAGCTTGACTCTTCGCCTCGGAAACCGTGCCCTCACAATCTCCACAAGGACCACCTGTTGATGAATTGAGCACTGTAGTACTGTTAGCCATAAGCTTGGCTCTTCTAAAAACATAAGAATGGAAGAACACTGCAGCAGGCCTACTGGCTTATACTTGGCACATCCTTTTCAAATTCAATTCTTCTCGCTTCTCAGTTCTTCATAAGGACGTAAGAACATAGGAACGCAGGAACACTGTTAATTTGTTAACCATAAACATGTATCCACTGCCACTGTTGGACTGTCACCTCAATATTTCCTCACAACAACATCACCTCTCCATCCTCCTATCCCTTCCACTACAACACTCACCAGCCATTCCAGGAGAGAGGGGAATTTCCTGAACGACGGGAAAAATCTCTTAGGTAAAAAACTAAAGCTGCCTCACACTTCCTAAGATCAGACTTGATTACCTTCCATCCACCAGGTTTCATATGACCCTTAGGGATCCATCACTTCCATGTCAGTATAATAATAATAATAATAATAATAATAATAATAATAATAATAATAATAATAATAATAATAATAATAATAATAATAAATGTACTAACCAAGCAAGAAGGCACAACGATAGCACAGCTGAAGAAAACGGAGTCTGGAAGAGAGAAGGACGCTGCACTGGTGAAGGTCTCGTGGACGTAGTGAGGATAGGCCAGGCTAGACAGAGAAGTACACTGCAGCCTCACCCCTGACCAACTCACCATGCTGCACTTCTCTCGCAATTCAGGGTCATACCTGCCCACACACACACCTAGTTTAATACTTTTATTTTACAGCCCCCCCCCCCCAACCCGGTTTCCCTTGATATATTATGCTTAATTAAACTAAGCAGGAACACGTACTAGGAATACAAAATATAAGTAAATATTGAAAAAAAATTACGTGTAGAAAGAAATAAACAGAAAGAAAGAGGCAATGAATGAGAAACTTAAGTTTATAAAAGAAATGAACAAAAATACATTTAAATTGGAGTAGCTTCTCCCTGACCTCAGCCCAACATAACTGTGATAAACATTTAAGATTGGTCTTAGATTCCCAAGCATCCATTAAGAGAGGCAGAAAGATAAACAGATAACCAGAAAGGCAGGTACTCAGACAACCATTAAGATAGGCAGGTAGGCAAACAACCAGAAACGCAGGTACTCTGACAACCATTAAGATAGGCAGGTAGGCAAACAACCAGAAAGGCAGGAAGGTAGACAACCATTAAGAAGGATAGGAGGCCATCAACCATCCAGAAAGGCAGGTAAGTAGACAACTATTAATTAAGAGATAGACAGGCAAACAACCAACCAGAAAGGCAGCTAGACAGACAGTCAACCAGAAAGGCAGCTAGACAGACAGTCAACCAGAAAGGCAGCTAGGCAGACAGTCAACCAGAAAGGCAGCTAGTCAGTCAACCAGAAAGGCAGCTAGGCAGACAGTCAACCAGAAAGGCAGCTAGTCAGACAGTCAACCAGAAAGGCAGCTAGGCAGACAGTCAACCAGAAAGGCAGCTAGGCAGACAGTCAACCAGAAAGGCAGCTAGGCAGACACAACCAGAAAGGCAGCTAGTCAGTCAACCAGAAAGGCAGCTAGTCAGACAGTCAACCAGAAAGGTAGCTAGGCAGACAGTCAACCAGAAAGGTAGCTAGGCAGACAGTCAACCAGAAAGGTAGCTAGGCAGACAGTCAACCAGAAAGGTAGCTAGGCAGACAGTCAACCAGAAAGGTAGCTAGGCAGACAGTCAACCAGAAAGACAGCTAGAAAATAAGTCAACCAGAAAGGTAGCTAGGCAGACAGTCAACCAGAAAGGTAGCTAGGCAGACAGTCAACCAGAAAGACAGCTAGAAAATCAACCAGAAAAAGGTAAATCCAGTTTCACTCAATCTCTTGACGAACCTAAAACAGTAGTTGAGGGCACAGAAAACTGCTGTTAACAGCACGTCGATGGCAGCAGCGGGGACCAGGAGGGGATTGTTTACCGTTCTTACATCCTCTCCGTTATCCTCTTCCTTCACCCTTACCAACCATCTTCCCCATTTTCCCCACTTCCATCCTTTCTTCTTCCTCTCTCTCTCGTTCATCCTGGAAGAAGAGAGAGAAAATTATACAAAAGTATTGTCATTTTATATAATAACAATAATAATAATATTATTATTATTACTTGTGTTATTATTATTATTATTATTATTATTATTATTATTATTATTATTATTATTATTATTATTATTATTATTATTATTATTATTATAATTATTATTATTATTATTTATCGTTGTTGTTGTTATTATTGTTGTTACTATTATTGTATTTGCATATTTTATTTTCTTGATTATTATCAGTTTTTATCATAATAATTGGAAATACGGGTTCGATCTGCTTACACAGGATACAAACACTGTGATGTGTATCAGTGTATGTACACAGAGAGTTAACTTAAAAGTATTCTCCTGTGCTGATGTAAACTTTACTCGCAGGCTTAATGACTCTCGTGTAGTCGATAGGCTTGCAACCCCCATTAATTAACCAAATTAAGGGGTGACCTTTCGGCTGTTGCAAGAAGAATACGATCTTCAGATTTTCTTAGAAAACACCTTGATTGTGTGTAATATTAAAGACTGTTTTTTAAACTGTAGTCATTGAGCGGTTTACCAGAGATTAGAAAGAGGTGTCCCGTGGATCGGTTGGTGGCGCCCTCAGTTCACACACTGAGGGGTCCGAGGTTCGATCCCCGACACGGGTGGAATCGTTGTGCATGTTTTTTTCCTTACACCTGCTGCCCTTGTTCACTTAGCAGTAAGTAGGTACCTGGGTGCTAGTAGAATGTTGTGGGTCACATTCTGGGGTGTGACCCACACACCACACACACACACACACACATACACACACACACACAGGGGTCGGTCCTAGGACCAGTGCTATTTTTGGTATATGTGAACGACATGACGGAAGGGTTAGACTCAGAAGTGTCCCTGTTTGCAGATGATGTGAAGTTAATGATGAGAATTAAATCGGATGAGGACCAGGCAGGACTTCAAAGAGACCTGGACAGACTGGACACCTGGTCCAGCAAATGGCTTCTCGAATTTAATCCTGCCAAATGCAAAGTCATGAAGATAGGGGAAGGGCACAGAAGACCACAGACAGAGTATAGGCTAGGTGGCCAAAGACTGCAAACCTCACTCAAGGAGAAAGATCTTGGGGTGAGTATAACACGAGCATGTCTCCGGAAGCACACATCAATCAGATAACTGCTGCAGCATATGGGCGCCTGGCAAACCTGAGAACAGCATTCCGACACCTTAGTAAGGAATCATTCAAGACACTGTACACCGTGTATGTCAGGCCCATACTGGAGTATGCAGCACCTGTTTGGAACCCGCACTTGATAAAGCACGTCAAGAAACTAGAGAAAGTACAAAGGTTTGCAACAAGGTTAGTTCCAGAGCTAAGGGGAATGTCCTATGAAGAAAGATTAAGGGAAATCGGCCTGACGACACTGGAGGACAGGAGGGTCAGGGGAGACATGATAACGACATATAAGAACATAAGAACATAAGAACGAAGGAACACTGCAGAAGGCCTACTGGCCCATGCGAGGCAGGTCCAAGTCTCCTACCGGCTTAAGCCAATGCACCCAACCTAGTCAGGTCAGGTCACATTGACTTAAGGGAGGAACACGGCAACCGACCTGGTAGCACAAGCTATCAGGTCTAACTCACACCCACCCACATCCACTCATGTATTTATCCAACCTATTTTTAAAGCTACACAACGTTCTGGCCTCTATAACGGTACTTGGGAGTTTGTTCCACTCATCCACAACTCTATTACCAAACCAGTACTTTCCTATATCCTTCCTGAATCTGAATTTTTCCAACTTAAAACCATTGCTGCGAGTCCTGTCTAGGCTAGATATTTTCAGCACACTATTTACATCCCCTTTATTTATTCCTGTCTTCCATTTATACACCTCAATCATATTCCCCCCTAATTCTACGTCTTTCTAGAGAGTGCAGATTCAGGGGCCCTTAGTCTATCCTCATGGGGAAGGTTTCTGATACATGGATCAACTTTGTCATCCTCCTTTGTACATTTTCCGAAAAATTTATATCCATTCTCTAATAAGGTGACCAAAACTGTGCAGCATAATCTAAATGAGGCCTAACCAAGGATGTATAGAGTTAAAGAACAACTGAGGACTCCTATTATTTATGCTTCTTGATATGAAGCCAAGGATTCTATTAGCTTTATTGCGAACACTTATGCACTGTTGTCTTGGTTTCAGATTACTCCCTAACCAGAACTCCTAAATCTTTTCGCAATCCGTAATATTAAGATCTACATTATTTAGTTTATATGTGGCATGGTTATTGTCCTGTCCAACATTTAGAACTTTGCATTTGTCTATATTAAACTGCATCGCCACTTCTCCGACCACTGCATCATTTCTATTCAAATCTTCCTGGAGTGCTCGAATGTCCTCTCAGAATGAATTCGACGGCCTATTTTGGTGTCATCGGCAAACTTCCGATGTCGCTCTTTATGCCCTCATCTATGTCGTTTATGTAGATTGTGAACAGCAGGGGGCCCAACACTGACCCCTGTGGAACACCGCTCGTGACACTTCCCCACTCTGATTTCCCCCCATTTATGCAAACTCTCTGCTGCCTATTTGTAAACCCAATGCCTCTATCCGGGAAAAAAAATTTCTCCTCCTATTCCATGTGCTTTAATTTTCCTCAATAGTCTCTGATGTGGGACCCTGTCAAAAGCCTTACGAAGTCCATATTACACAATATCATATTCATTTCCATGATCTACCCCCTCAAATACCTTAGTGAAAAAAGTTTTAAAAATTCGTAAGGCAGGAACGCCCCTTTGTAAAACCATGCTGAGATTCGTTGATTAATTTATGCTTTTCAAGGTGGCTACGAACTGCCTCGGCAATTATTGATTCCATAAATTTTCCCACTATGGAGGTTAGGCTTATTGGTCTATAGTTCGAAGCTAAGGACCTGTCACCTGTTTTTGAAAATAGGTATCACATTTGCCATTTTCCACTTATCTGGCACCATGCCAGTTTGTAGTGATATGTTGAAAAGATTAGCCAAAGGTGTGCTAAGCTCCTCTTTACATTCCTTTAGAACCCTTGCATACAGTTCATCAGGGCCTGGGGATTTGTTAGGTTTTAATTTATCTATTTGCCTAAGGACCATGTCACTTGTGACCCTAATAGTACACAGTTTATTATCGTCCTGTTCTAACATAATTTATCATTACTGGAATATCGCTGGTATCCTCCTGTGTAAAAACTGAGAAGAAGTATGTGTTAAAAATTCTACACATTTCCTTATCACTGTCAGTGAGCTGACCCGAGGAACTTTTGAGTGGGCCTATCTTGTCCCTGATCTTACTTCTGTATACCTGAAAGAATCCTTTTGGGTTAGTCTTCGATTCTCTTGCAACTTTAACCTCATAATCTCTTTTTGCTTTTCTAATTCCCTTTTTTATTTCTCTCTTTAACTGAATATATCGATTTCTCAATACTGCTTGGAATAGACAAGGTGGACAAGGACAGGATGTTCCAGGGAGGGGACACAGAAACAAGAGGCCACAATTGGAAGTTGAAGACACAAATGAGTCAGAGAGATAGGAAGTATTTCTTCAGTCATAGAGTTGTAAGGCAGTGGAATAGCCTAGAAAATGACGTAGTGGAGGCAGGAACCATACAAAGTTTTAAGACGAGGTTTGATAAAGCTCATGGAGCGGGGAGAGAGAGGGTCTAGTAGCAACCGGTGAAGAGGCGGGGCCAGGAGCTAGGACTCGACCCCTGCAACCACAAATAGGTGAGTACACACACACACACACACACACACACACACACACATATATATATATATATATTATATATATATATATATATATATATATATATATATATATATATATGTCGTGCCGAATAGGCAGAACTTGCGATCTTGGCTTAAATAGCAACGCTCATCTTGCCATATAGGACAAGCGAAAATTTGTGTATGCAATAATTTCGCCAAAATCAATCTGAACCTAACGAAAAAAAAATATATTTCACTCTGTTTGTTTAGTAATTAAATTATTGTAACAAATCTAAAATATATTTAGATGGGTGTTAGGCTAAAATAAATTGTTCTTGTTATAATAAGGTTAGGTAAGTTTTCTAAGATTCTTTTGGTGCAAAATTCAAAATTTTTACATTAACATTAATGAAAAATATATATGTTTAAACGTATAAGAGAAAATTTTAGAAAGGACTTAATTTTAAATGAGTTTTGCTAATTGACCAGTTTTACATATCGGCACGACATATATATATATATATATATATATATATATAATAGGTAGTAGGTTGGTAGACAGCAACCACCCAGGGAAGTACTACCGTCCTGCCAGATGACTGTGAAACAGAAACCTGTAACTGTATTGCATGATGGTAGGATTGCTGGTTTCTTTTTCTGTCTCATAAACACGCTAGATAACAGGGATATCTTGCTACTCCTACTTACACTTTGGTCACACTTCACAGACACGCACACGCATATACATACATACATCTAGGCTTTTCTCCTTTTTCTAAATAGCTCTTGTTCTTCTTTATTTCTTCTATTGTCCATGGGGAAGTGGAAAAGAATCTTTCCTCCGTAAGCCATGCGTGTCGTATGAGGCGACTAAAATGCCGGGAGCAATGGGCTAGTAACCCATTCTCCTGTAGACATTTACTATAAAAGAGAAGAAGAAAAACTTTATAAAACTGGGATGCTTGAATGTGCGTGGATGTAGTGCGGATGACAAGAAACAGATGATTGCTGATGTTATGAATGAAAAGAAGTTGGATGTCCTGGCCCTAAGCGAAACAAAGCTGAAGGGGGTAGGGGAGTTTCGGTGGGGGGAAATAAATGGGTTTAAAAATCTGGAGTATCTGAGAGAGTTAGAGCAAAGGAAGGGGTAGCAGTAATGTTAAAGGGATCAGTTATGGAAGGAGAAAAGAGAATATGAATGTGTAAATTCAAGAATTATGTGGATTAAAGTAAAGGTTGGATGCGAAAAGT